CTTCCTGGACACTGAACCTGGGATGCTCTACCACTGAGCTACAGCCCTTTTTCTTTTACCAGGTACTTTATTTATCTATTATATTTATATCCCATCCTTCCTCTCAAAGGAGACCAAGGCAGCAAATAGCAAGTGAGAAAACATCTTCAAAAATCTTACTAACAGCCTGTTGTGCTTGACAAGAATACAGTATGCTACTGAAATTTCAAAAAACAAGAACCTTGAGTTTCAAATTAATCCCTGGTTCAATGGCCAGACAATTCTGGATGACAGGAATTTGCAAGGCACATGAATGGCAGGCTTCAGGTCCCTTGGCTTTGCTATCTTTGGCTGGTGACAATGGTAGCTAAGTACCATTCAGAAACCCTAGTACAACCAGAAGGTGAGAAAAGGATCAAAGTCAACTGCCATACTGTAGATCCTCTGAGTCTAAATGGGTTGTAGGAAGCCAATGACACGCTGGGACAACCATTGCAATTTTGGTGGAAAAGGGTCACTAAACAAATGCACAGCTTAGCTCTCGCTTCCACATTGCTCCTCCTTGTTTAAATCATTTCCCGGTACCCTCCACTGCTTTTGTTTCAAGGGATTAAAGCAAAGCTATCCTCCCTCTCTTCATTTCTTCCCCGAGTGCCTGCTCTTGCAAAAACACAATCGTATCACATGCTGCCTCAAATGCCAGTTTCCTCTGGGTCAGGGAAAAGAATCAGGCCATTCTTTTTTAAAACATGAAGAGGAAGTTGAAGAGGAAAGAAGCCCGCTAGTGTACATTACAATGAAATGCTAATCAAGAATCTACCCTCTCCAGCATTCCCATAGATTTGGCCTCATTCTGGGAACTCCTGTTGGTTGCTTACTCTGATGTCTTGGCAGGGAGCCCACCGTTCCTTTTGTGACTTCACAGGCTTTGTGATTCACTGGAGCCAGTCTGGAATCCAAGTCTCATACACCCTATGGGATGCATGTGCAAATTACTGATTCAGAATACACCAGCGCTTCTTCGGTGCTTCCTTTGAATCAGTACATGCTTCACACCACTGCAGTAAATGCAACCGCAATTGTACTCATAGGAACACAGGAAGCTGCCTTATGCCTGAGTCAGATCATTGGTCCATCGACTATCTACACGGACAGGCAGTGGCTCTCCAGGTCTCTTCCAGCCCCACCTGGAGATGGTGGGGATTGAACTTGAGACTTTCTGCATGCAAAGCAGGTGCTATATCACTGAGCTATGGTTATCTGATGCCTGGCACTTCACCCATGCAATTGCAATAGATGCATGAATGTGGAAAAAAGACATTACTCTGCATCACAAAATAAACACAAGGTGAAATGCTGGGGTGAGATTCTACTTCATAATGTTAAACCTGAGTTGAGGCTGTAGAACTTCAGACTGCAAGTTGGGACTCACATGACTGAATAATCCTCCATGCAAAAAAAAGATTTCCACAATGAAAACTAGAAGGGGGGGGGGAAGGTTCTTATCTAGCCCTGTCCCTGAAATGCCAATTTTCTATATCAAGAGAATCTTCTCTGCGTCTGGGAACATGCAATCATGGAAGTCCTGCCTGCATTCTAGTAGAATGATGCTAGAAGCCTTGAAGATTAGAGAAACTCAATCTGGTTGAGCAGTTCTTCTAAAGCTACAATAGGTAACTGGGTAAGAAAAATACCAACACCCATTTTAGGCACTTCTCCAATTCTAGGGGACTCAAAGGCACACCATTTTGTCACATTTTGGTTGGCCAAATAAACATATTGCCCTAATATGGATTTTGGAATTATTATTCTGAGTCAATATAGCTATGTTTACAAAAAGTTATTCGGCCTTGACTGGAATGCACAGCAAGTACTCCTTCCCCTTCCCACTGTAAAGGTATGACAACTTTTCTGCTCTGCCAAACCTACGACACTCTTTTCTGAACAGTAAGCATAGCAGCTGTTCAGGGCCTCTCTGTTTTTAGGTCTCTAGAAACCGAAATCTTTTGCCATGAAAACGGGCTACTTGACAGCCACGGATTTTAAAAAGGTAGGGCTATTATCCCACTTCTCCAACTTCAGCATACAGAACAGCCCCTTCTGCAAAAAGCACATTAACTGTGCAGTTTAATAATGTGCCACTGAGCTGACTTGCTGTGTTAAGCTGCCTATTCATTTAGCTTTCTATTCTGTGTTCTTTCTGGCTGTCCTTCCATTAGCTCCTGACAAGTAGCACCTACTTTCTGGCCAAGAAATGAACACAAGGAGTCCCCTTTGATGCTGACGCTCCTAGAATTCAGACTACCTCTCCAGCTATCAGCTTCCCCCAATCTTCTCCCCAATGCCGCCCACAGTACATTCCCCCTGAGCTACCCTTTCTTCACCTGGCCTCCCAGCCTCAAAGAAACTCCAGACAGTCTTGCCAGCCCCAGATCTCCCACCAGAGCTTCCCAGGCCAAGGCAAATAGCTGATTTAACACTTCACTCCCCGATTTGCACACTGGATTGAATGTAGCCTTTGCAAGCCTCCTAATCGCAGCTGTGAGCTCAGCCGAGTGCCAGCCACAGCAAATTCACACACAGCGGTGCTTTTATTTGTAATGAAATATTTAGAGTGGAAAAATGCCCCTGAATTTAATAAAAGCAACACTCTGGGATTGCCAGGGATGTGTGGTATAGCCACCAAACCCCTCTCAGAATTCCCTACATCAAACTAAGCTTTCAGCCATAGCCAGCTAAATAAATGGTTTCGTAATGAAAATGATGATGATGATGATGATGATGATGATGCATTCTGGGCATCAGCAAGTTTCAGAACTGCACAGTCAGATTACGTTATATGAAACCAAATTAAAAAAATACTTTGATCTAATCATACGTTGCATTTGATTGATTAACTAGCAGATTTGGAGGAAGGGATTCTAATTGTATCTGGTATAAGAATGCAAAAGCATGACATGTTTGTGATGCCAACTTCAAAGAGGCATTACACTCCTTTCTCACACTCTTGGGGACATGCCAAACACTAAATGACTACCCAGGGTGGTCCAACATGCAGCCTAAGGACCACATGGACATTTGAAACCCCTGCCAACCCATGCACTGCCTTCCCAAAGCCGGGCTCTAGGACCCTGCCAAAGCCTCATGCCTCCTTCCCAAACCCTGACAACTCACTTCCCCAGCACAGGGGCCAGGGATGGGGAACTCATCTAATTTCTGCCTTGCTCCCCGCCCCATGTGACAAGGCAGAGTGCAGCCTGCAGGTTCTGTGTCGAAGAACTCACACTCAGAATGAAAAGTTGTGCCACCCTGCTGTAGAAACTGGCAGAATAGAATTGTAGAGTTGGAAAGGACCACGATGGCCATCTGGTCCAACCAACACAGCAATCTTTTGCCCTATGTGCTCTATACATTATCACTTGTGGGGCTGCGTGCACCCTTATGGAACTGTCCAAGGTCAGCATCTGATGCCTACTCTTTAGTGCATAGCTGTCAGGTGAGTACCATAAACAGGGCCTTTTGTGTGGTGGCTCCACATTTCTGGAATACTCTTCCCAGGAAATACACATGACCCATACTTTCTTGGCAGAAAAGCTTTAAAGGTGGTGGTGGTGTTCTTGGCTGTTAGGAGAGCTTTATAGGTGTCGGTGTTGTTGTTGTTCCGGCTTACATTTGGTTGATACTATTGTGCCATTTTTTTTACCAAAAGTTCTATCTCCTGCTGCTATCTTTTAAAGTCCTTTTTTAACTGTTATTTTATAGTTATTTAATGACTTGGAATTTTAGTGTGCTGCTATTTGCCATATTTGAGGCTATTAACCCTAACGGTCCTGTTGAAGTTCTTGACTGTTTTCAAAATGGGAAGTAGCAGGCATTGGAGGGAATGAGGATCGAAATCACAGTGTACTGGGAGAGTGGAGTTAACCTCTTCCTTCCTCCCCACCACCCTCCCAATGAAAACAACACCCCAGGACGGATGTTCCCATTGGTGTAAGTAAGAGGTTTTATTTACCCTGGGACTCACAGCACCTTCAGGAGGGCAATTTTTGTCAGGACTACAGTGGGCCAGGAAAGCCTGCTGTTTTCCCAACCCAGATCCCCACCTCACCCCACCCCACCCCAGGGCCTACTATTGTTATTTTAAAAACATTTGCAAAACAGCAAATGACACAATTAATGTTGCATATACTTTGGTCCCAAGATGCTGCTTACTGAAAGCCAGTCTGTGGTAGCAGCTAGAGGGCCTAGGAGGTTAAAATTCCTGCTCAGCCATGAAGTTTACTAGGTGGCCTTGAGACAGTCACCCTTAACTTACCTCACTAGATTGTTGTGATAATAAAATGGAGGGGGGGGGAGAGGGGAAGAACTATGGGATATAAATGTACTAATAAAAAATAATATGTTTCCATCATCTAAAAACAGAAGCATTCATTGTCCCTTAAGGTTATTTGTATTTCTTTAACTGATCAGCTCATTAATTAATATTCACACGATTAATCAATTAAGATTCCTCTAAAAGAAAACTAACAACTTGGTCTGAGCTAATTTGTAATTCAGAAGCAGAAGTAATCCAAGTTGGAGCAATTTCACAGGTCCCCAGTCTGGACCGAATATATTAATGATTCTGTAGCGAGCAGAATTTTGGAGTGATGAATGATGCTATAAAGCTTGTTTGCCCCTGAGCCGTCAGCACTGTGGAAGCTTTCCCAGTGGACAGCTCCAATTAAGTCCCGACATTTTCAATGTAATGCCTGAATTAATTTGTTCAACTGACTGAAACACATTTGAAGGTGTAGGAATATGCAGAGGTTAGACCTGACACTGGACTACGAGGGAAACCGATTCCATGACACCAGTGTTGTGGAAGGGTGCTAGGAATTGGGAGGGCAGTATATAGTTGCTTCTCTGATAGACTTTGAACAAGAACTTCACACAGGGGCCTGGGAAGCTCCTTTGTACAGACTCAGGCCACTGCTCCATCTAGTTCATTACTGTCCACACTGACTGGCAGCAGCCATACCTGGAGATGCCAAGAATTGAACCTGGAAACCTTTGCATGCAAAGCAGATACTCTATACCACTGAGCCACTGCCCTTCCCCAACTCAGCAGAGCAATCAGGGAAACCCAGCCAGATGGGTGGGGTATATTATTATTATTATTATTATTTCATAGAATCACAGAATTTTTGAGTTGTAAAAGGACCACGAGGGTCATCTAGTCTAATCGCCTGCAGTGCAGGACCCTTTTGCCCAATGTGGGGCTCAAACCCATGCTCTACTACTGAGCTATCCTAGCTGTCTGCTGGATGACTCACACATCCAGCAAGCCCACACACAGAACCTACATAGGTCACAATTCCAGAACAGGGTGTCTCTGTTTTGAGAAGATGCAAGTGGAATGGGTAGCTGCCTTTTCAACCACTACATGAGCTCTTCAGGTTGAAAAGGGGTATTCACAGTTAGTTGTTAGGGAGCTTACCAATCGCTTCCTTTTTTCGAATTGAAAACAGGGCCAAAGCACAGCAGAAGAAGCAGAGGGAAGGCAAAACTAGAGCCCAAAGCACGGTCCTTAAAACTGCATTTGTGCTGGATGGAGGGCAATGGGTACATGTCTAGGGATCAAGGAACTCTTTGAAAAGTTATCTCTCTTTTGCTCTTCCTTTTGATTAAAGGTCCCAACTGTTTATAGATTTTTAATCTCTTTCAGAGAACGCTGCTTACTGATTCTTAATTTCAGAGAATGCCATTACTATATGATTGCCGATAAGACAGAAGTTATATTTTTGCAATGGAAACTTCAGCTAGCTTAGAAAAATGGCAAAAATGGCATGTTAACAGAGCCAGCTAGAACTGAACCTATTTTGCCAGTGCTCTGCTGTCTGTACCATATTTCCCCCACTCCAGGTGCAATCCAAAGTGCTATTTTTAACCTATAAAGTCATAAAAAGCCATTCATCCTTATATCTGAAAGAGTACCTGTTTCAATGCAAGCCTTCCCACAGTTACGATTTTTAACTGAGCCCCTGCTCTAGGTGCTCCTTTTGAGGAAAGGTGAGTGGCAGCCAGGAGCAGGGCCTTCTCAATGGTGGTGCGCCATCTATGGAACTGTGTGGGGTGGTGGGCAGAGTACCAGACTAGGATGCACCTGCACTCAGTTACAAACTCACTGGGTGGCCTTGGGCCCGTCACTATCTCTCAGCCTAACAGGCTGGTTGTGAGGATAAACTGAAGACAGAGGTAGAACTGCATACTGTGGGCTCCTTGCAGAAAAGGCAGGCAACAAAAGTAGAAAATAAATTAACTCCCTTTCCGAGTCCTGACACCTAGGGGTGGAGGAGGAGAGGGAGGAAGGGAGGATTTAATAGTATTTTAAAGGCATACCTTGGAGATGTTGTGGGTTCAGTTCCAGACCACAGCAATAAATTGAATACTGCAAATAAAGTGAGTCACACAAATATTTTTGTTTCCCAGTGCATATAAAAGTTATGTTTGCAGTATGCTGCAGTCTATTAAGCCAGGCCCTCCTGGCTCCAGGAGGGGGGAAACCCGGCTTTAGACCTAGCCAGCTCCTCTCCCATTGCTAGAAAAGGGGTGGCGGCAGCAAGGGGCTGGGCTGGGTTGCCTGCATCTGCACCCGCATCCTCGTAAGGTGCAATATCTGCAGTGTGATAAAACAAAGTATGCCTGCATTTGATTGCAACTGCTTTCTGTGCTGCCTTTTGCTACATGATCTTTAAAAGCAATACGTCATTATTTTTATGATAATCCTGTTTAAACAATTATTCTAAGCTTCCTTTTGACTCATATAGTCAAAAGGAAGGATGGCTTTAAAAAATAAAATCACAGTGTGTTTTCAGGGGGAGAGGAATGCATTGCATACGATTCATCTAGTGTGAAGATCTAACCAGTAGGCTCAAATGACACGTAAGGTGATTTTTTTATTTTTAAAAAATGGCACAGCCATCCTACAATATTAAGAGAAAACTACCCTGCTGTCTGAATGACTCTTACATAAACACAGTATTGGTAGCCTGGAACTGCTTTTGCCTGTGCTATTGCAGGAAATCCTGGCAGGTCAGTTTAGATAAGACCTGGAGCCAGGAATGGTCTAGATGCTTTCCTTCAAAAGGACACAGTCTTATTTTCCATTCTGCAGGTATAGCTGCCCAAGAGGAGTCCTTTCATCATGATCAACCCTTTTTCCTATTTCCTGTGTGCCTGAACAGCCTTGATTTGCTGAAGTCGTTCCTTACCATGCTTTACTGTAAGGCAGTTGGAATAGGAGGGGGAGATAAAAAGTTGTAGAAAAAGAGTGCATCCTATCACAGAGCCTCTATAAAAAGGTTTTGCAATGTTCATATTTTAAACCCAAACAAGGTCTCCCTTCCACAAATATCCCCTTCACACACATCCGCTTTTTTCCTTTTCCCTCTGGCTTGGTTCACACATCACAGTTCTGCTAAGATTCCAGAATAGATGGAAGCAATGAACTGCTTCTAATTGCAATAGAGGCCAGCTATCAATTGAGTGTAATAGTGTTTTCAAAGAGCTTGGTGTGTGTGTGTTTGCATGGGGGATTTAACGATTTTAAAGCTGGACTGAACTTACTGCCGACTGCAAGCCCCGCTTTCTGCAGGAATCAGCTCCACTCAAGAGCTCTGGTCTGGAGCTTCCAAGTGGAACCAATTCTAGCAGGGCTTGCACTCCCTTAACTGTAAAGAAGGAGGACATATGGTCAGTGGGGTTCTGCTCCATTTGCAGAGCAGAGGATTCTAATTTAAGCGCAGGGCATTAATTCCTGGAGGTGCAGCTAGAACTAGACTTCTAGTTAATTTACAGCAGCTATCTAAATTATTCTAAGAACACATTTTCAGTACTTTTTCTAGGAAAGCCATCTGACTGTAATACATTTCCTGCAAGGCACAGTTGCTAGTCTATAGGCCAAAAAAAAAGTGCTAACTCAAAGGGAAGACCACACATTTAAGGAGTAAGTGGCTGGGGATTGATGCCATAATTAGAAAAATGCTTAGCAAGTGTGGAATTCTTTAGGGAATTTTATATTCCCTGTCCACCAATACTTGAGGTCAAATGCACATGGCTTTCTGTTGAATAAAAGCTTTTGTGTTTCTGTTCTTTAAGTTTGATCTATTCCAGTCTGTAGAAGACAATTTATCTTTTTTTAAAAATCAGTGTAATTACTGGGAAATCCTAATGTTTGAATTCTAACTGTGGTGTAGGAGTCCTAATTATTTCTGATATAATACACTTTGCATACTAAATATTCCTTTTACCCAGTCTTATGGTATAAAAAAGAGGAGGATATTTTTAAACCCCTGCTAATAGAGTGGAGGAACCTGTGATCTTAAAAAAAATGTTGCTAGACTTCAGTTCCCAGCATCCCTGCCCATTGGCTAAGCTGGCTGGTGCTGATGTGAGCTAGAGTCCAACTGCATCCAGATCGTCACATATTCCTCATCCCTGGTCTATGAGGTTCAGAGAGCAGTGTGTAGATTGGTTTAATATCACTTCCCACAATTAAACTGGAAACGTACTGGCTATCTCACGGATTTGTGAAAACTGCCATCAGTGAGCAACTACTGCAAGTCAATGTTCAATCTACCAATTATTTGCACTCTCGGATCAAAACCAAAACTTTATCTGCAGCGCAAAGGACCAGCCAAGGACAGGAACTGTGGAGAAATGTCTACATCCACTTTCCCATTGTCATCTCCTGAGTGACTAAGGTGGACACAGAAGAACTGTTTGCCTCTAAAAGCTACCTGAGTCATGACTGATCATTTTAGCTGAGAAACTGGAAGTTTTCTTCTCCATATCTTTCCTTTACTCCAATACCCATTCATTCATTTTTACTACTACTACTACTACTACTACCATTTATTCAATTTATATACCACCCTTCCTCCTGAAAGAGCCTAGGGTGGCAAGCACATCAATACTACATTTTTAAAAGCAATCTAATTAAGAATAGAAACAACGATTTGATGGTTGGCAAGAACTGCATCTTTCTGCCATCAAAATATTGGGTTTACAGGAATGTTTTAAAATTCCTCCTCAAAGTCAACAACAGAGGAGACAGACAAACCCCGCAAGTGAGGGCATTCCACAAGTGAGGAACTGCCACTTAAAAGGCATTGTCACAAAGCAATGCCAATCAGGCAGTCTTCCACTGCAGCACAATCAACAAGGCCTCACCTGCTGATCACAGGGTCAGAGATGGTTAATATTGGGGAAGGTGCTCCTTTCGATATTTAAATGCTTTTAGGGCTTTATATGCTAGTACTAACACTTTGAACCTGGGCCCAGTAGCTCACTGGCAGCCTGTGTAGCACTTTCAGGACACCTGGTCCCATCAGGCTCCCCTACCATCATGCCAGCTTGCAACTGGTTGCCACAGCATCCAGGTGTGACACAGGTAAGTCAACGATCATGGAGGCAGGAGGTTTGGTCATGAACAGGCTGGTGGTCAGATGCTAGATTGGACAGATAAACCAAGGGAAGGCTAGACACCGAGGCTGCCACACTAGCCTAGAAGAAAGGATGTTATAGGGTATGACATCCCTGTTGTTTTGGAAGATCAGCTGATCTCCTTCCACTAGGTCATCCGACACTACTCAGGGCACCAGGGCACCTGGGAGGGTCAAATGTTGAATTTACCTCAGACTTTGTTGCAACTGGAAGGTGCAAGTCCCGAAAGAATTCCACACTTGGTGAGTATTTTTCCAAGTATAGCATTAATCCCTAGCCACTTATTCCTTGTTTGTGTGACCTTCTCTTTCAATTAGCACCTTCTTTTGTCATATAGATTAGCAATGGTGCCTTACCAGAGAAGGTATTACAACAAAGATTAAACATGTGTTCTTAGAACAGCTTAGCTACTGTAAATTAACTACAAGTCTAAAGCTATGGATCACCTTCACACTTGGCGACCATGCAGTTAGGTCGGCACCCTCTATTTGTCAAACAGGGCAGGACCTCACTGACCTATAGAACCTAGCCTGGTCGAAGACTCAGAGCTCTTGTGCAAGAGACAACACACTAAAGGCTGGCTACTGGAGCCCCTGTTCAGGAGGA